GTGTTAACAGGAGCGTCATATGTAAGACACGCGAGATCGCTGTCCTGCTATACTCAGCGCGAGTGAGGCCTCAGTTCTGGACAACACATTTTTAAAAAAACGTGGACAAACTGGAGAGAGTCCAGAGAACAACAACAAAAATGATAAAGGGTTTAGAAAACCTGATCTATGAGAAAAGTTAAAAAACCAGGCATGTTTAGTATTGAGACAAGATGACTGAAGGGGGACCTGATAATGGTCTTCAAATATGTTACAGGCTTTTATAAAGAGGACTGTGATCAATTGTTCTCCATGTCCACTGAAGATAGAACAAGTAGTAACAGAATCTACAGCAAGGGAGATTTTGCTTAGATATCAGAAAAAACACCCCAAACCCCCACCTTTATAACTGAACAGGTAGTTTAGCTCTGGAACAGGCCACCAATGGAGGTTGCAAAATCTCCACCATTGGAGATTTTTACCAACAGATTAGACAAAACACCAGTCAGGGATGGTCTAGGTTACTTGGTCTTGCCCTCAGTGCAGGGGAATGGACTAGATGACCTCTCAAGGTCCCTTCCAGCCCTATGTTTTTATGATTAGCTCATATAAAGGTTAACTTATTATTGTGTATCAATTCCTATTTCACAGTTGTGTGTTTAGTGTAATCTGAATAGACCCTCTTCATATAACCTACGAGAAGATCAAAAGTGACAAGCTTCTTCTATTGATGAAGCTATACCAATTAACAAGAATTCAGATTTAAGCACCAACAACTTCTACGCATTTGTGTAGTTCGATACAGAAGAAAAAAGATTTCTGTGTAAGTGATACACCACTTCTCCATACTTCAGACATGATCTTACATTATTAGTTATCTGAAGCAAGTGTGTGGCACAGAGAAGCAGAAACTACAGGAGAAAATTTAAATGGGACATGGACTGCTTTAGTGAACTTCAAAGATGGTTTAAAATTTCTTCCCAGAATAGTTTCAGATGTTACAGTGAAGTTTATTGAAAACCAGTGGCATGCAACTGCTAAGCCCCAATATCCTAACATTACGTGAATTAATACTTCCACAAATATATCAAGCTTTCTATGGAGAATTGTACTATCCTTAAGTAAAATCATCTGCACAGGTCTTAGTACATTTAATACAATGTATTGCTTTTCTCCACTACTTAAGAAAAAATTCCCTGAAAAAGAAGTAGGTTAGAGACTTCTACAGATTCCAAATATGAATTTAAGGCTTGAATGGCAGACAAAATTGGCTCAAGTAATATATCAAAAGATGAGGAAACAGTGGATAGAACAATTTATCAGCAGTTCAAAAAGCAACTAAATCTGTGGCCTAACACAACTGTGATGAGAACCCCTTTTGCCTTTATCACTTTTGGGTGCTTCAAAGTCTAGCATCATTTTTTTTTTTTTTTTTTTACACCTACACTTCTCTTTGAATATTTATTTTAAGGATTTGTAGTACACAATAGAGAGAATGGGGGAGCACTCCCCATGTTCCTGAAAAAGAGAGTAAGTGAGAAACAAAATAAAATATTCAAAGTGGGCTCTCTCATCACTTAGATATCCCACAATATATTGCAAAAACCAGTAGTTGTTCAGAGTGCATTTTAATTGAAACCTAGGTAAAGCCTGTTCATAAGTCACAAAAATCAAAACTCTAATTGTGGACAGCTGTCTAACGTTGTTTATTCAAGATTTGGCAAGTCAGTTTCTGGAAAGGATATAGGCTGTATTTTCACCACCACAAAGGCCATTGTGCAAACAGATTACTTCCATCAGCAACTGATACCTCGTATGAAGAGTTGGTATTTCTCAACATGACAAGTAATATAAAGTACATTTGTGGTAACATGTGAGCTCTTGACTTTTAGGGGTGAGGTGCTAATTGATTTAAAGAACTATATTGGAACTTGTCTACATGAAGAGCAGTTTGACTAAAAATGTGATTTTAAATTAATTTAGTCACATCAGTGGAAAGGACTGTGTGGACACTTCAGTTTAAATTAGGCTCATTTTGGTTTATCTTAAAATCAATTAATACATTTTAAAATAATCCAAATAAACTACTTTCAATCAAAATAAGGGATTGTCTACGCTTATAGTGCTGCTTCTCCTGCTGCCACAGGTACTCCGCCTTCCCAAGAAGTGGAAGCTGTCAACAGGAGAAGCCTTCCCATCAACATCACAGTGTCTACACTAGGAACTTCTGCCAGTACAACTATGTCGCTTGGGGTATGGATTTTCCACACCTTTGGGCGATGTAGTTATACAAACATAAGTTCCTAGTGTAGACTAAAGCTGTGTCTATACTGCCACTTTCAGCATTAAAACTTTAGTCATTCAGGGGTGTAAAAAACACCCCGAGCCATAAAAGTTTTAATGGTGAAAAGCGCCAGTATAGACAGCGCTTTATTGCTGGGTGGTTATTTTTTATTGCCGGGAGAGCTCTCCCCTAGCGATAAAGCGTGACTACACTGCCCACATCACAGCGCTGCTGCAGCCACACTATAACATGGGCAATGTAGACACACCCTAAGCCAAAGAGTGTCCACACAGAGGCTTTGCACTGGTTTACTTAAGCCTGTGCAAGTGTGTGTGTACACAACACTTTAGAAATCTCATATATGACCAAGTAGAACTAATCCCTTACATTATTGTTACTTATTGACAAAGTATTTTATCAAGCCTCTATTATAATCACTGAAAGAGTACTTAGGTTTGTATTTTTCCAAAATATGAAAAGGGTTAATTTAAAAACAAAAATGACCCCCAAAGTTATTTAATACATTTAGACTTAACACATGCCAGTGAAACGGACTATAAAGATACTTGAAAATTGGTGAATTGTGACTAAAGAAGTGTTGGTATAATCTAAACTATGACATTCTTACAATTATCCAAGCCTTCCCATATGGGCTGACAAAGTCTTAAAACACCAGCCACATTCAAACCAGCAACTCTGTCTATTATGGCAGGTGCTTAGATTCTACAGTGCAAAGTGTATCTACTAGCAACCTACTCTATTGGTTTTGGAGGACCAACTATAATTCAGTGACAAAGAGGTTGGAGATCCTTGTAGAAATTGAATGATTTAAGCTTTTCTTTAGCTACTAGGTGAACTATTTGTAACAGCTGAATTCAGACCTTTCATATTTGTGAAGCATCCAGACTTACATATTTGTTTGGTATTTGCAAATACACAAAACTGCTCACAAATTTCAGCCTGTGCATTGCTGGCTCCAACTATTCTGTATTTCAGCTGTGATCATCACTTAATTCACATAGTTCCTGTTCACTGACTGGATGAACAAGCCTTTATAAAACTACTGCTTCCTCAAAATCAGCTTAGATTTAGTTTTTAACTAATCTGAGCTACAGTCGTAAAATTTGCTGTCAACAAGTTCTGTTTGTGAAAACCCCACAAAATGCAAGCAAGTTTCAAACACTGTCAAAAGAAACTAAATATTTAGAAATCTCTAGAGCATTGATAAAAATTCTCACTATCCTCTCAGTTCTATTAGCCTTACCCAAAGTAAATCTTCAAAAACTACCTTTAACAGTTAATTTACAATAGTTGCTCAACATTTTCAGAATACCTACAGGATTAATCTAGATTTAATCATTTTTGGTGCACTTTAAGGTTCTGAAACAAACCCAGAAGACAATTCTTAAGGCTCCTTCACTAACTGAAGCTTATTGAGAACAGGCACCGCTATTAGCCAGGATGGGCAGGGATGCAAAACCATGCTCTGAAGTATCCCTAGCCTCTGTTTGCCAGAAGCTGGGAATGGGCGACAGGGGATGGATCACTTGATGATGACCTGTTCTGTTAATTCCCTCTGAAACACATGACATTGGCCACGGTCAGAATACAGGATACTGGGCTAGATGGATCACGGGTCTGACCCAGTCTGGCCATTCTTATGTTCTTATATAGGCTTGAATTTCACATTTACACTAAGGCTCCTTGACATCATTCTGGCAATGGAAAGGGGCCTAAAAGTGGATGTAAAGGGATCTTAGTGTAACTCAGAATCAGCCTCTCTAGGCTACCAAATCCCTCTCCCTATTTTCCCAACAGAATCAATATGGCAACAGGAGCTGTTGCCAAAAGTCACGAGGGATGCACTGAATTACATCATATTCCAGTTTTTTATAGTTTTATGTGGAACATGAGGTCCCAGTGTGATACAGTGGCCGAGAGAGCTAATGTGATCCTGGGATGCATGAACAGGGGAAATCTCAAATAGGTGTAGAGAGGTTATTTTACCTCTATATTTAGCACACGTGTGACTGCTGCTGGAATTATGTCCAGTTCTGCTGTCCACAATTCAATAAGGATGCTGATAAATTGGAGAGGGTTAAGAGAAGAGCCATGGTAATGATCAAAGGATTAGAAAACATGCTTTTTAGTGATAGATTAGACTCAAGGAGCTCATTTAGCTTAACAAATAGAAGGTTAAGGGGTAACTTAATCACAGTCTATAAGTACTACATGGAAAACAAATATTTAATAATAGGCTCTAATCTAGAAGAGAAAGGTCTAACATGATTCAATAGCTGGAAGTTGAAGCTAGACAAATTCAGACTGGAAATAAAGCATAAATTTTTAACAGTAAGCATAGTTAACCATTGGAACAATTTACCAAAGGTCGTGGTGGATTCTCCATCACTTGCAATTTTTAAATCAGGATTGGATGTTTTTTATAAAAAGAATTACTTTGGGGAAGTTCTATGGTCTGTGTCATACAGAATGTCAGACTAGATAGTCACAATGGTCCCTTCTGGTCTTGAAATCTAGGAATTTATGCAGGAGGCTAATGGCTGACTATTTGTCAAAGTAAGGGAGGTGGGAATGAAAAGCAATTTTACTTCCTCTTCAGCTTTCTCCAAAAGAAAAATGATCAATGAATAAATTCATAAGATACTTAAAGGTTTTACACAACCACCCTGTCTTCCCATTAAAGGTAGCCTTTAATTTAGACAAAAAGTGTTCCATGAAGTGGCACCGAAGATTTCCTGACTTAATCACAGTTTCCCAAAGACATCCTTACCTGTAAAATGTTTGTGAAGAAGTCATGGTAGAACATAGGCCAGTCTTGTCGGCCAATGTCCACAATGACTTTGCAGAGCTTGTTCCTGATAAAATAAGGCAGTGTTTTGTGGTGAGCTAGGAGGAGTTTGGGCAGGCAGCTGCGGATCTCCATTTTATCTTGAGATGGGACCCCAAGCCACATCTTATTGATCAGGTTCTGAAAGAGAGGCACACCCTGATTTAGCAGATCTTAAAAGGCACAAAGAACTGGTTTTAGTGCTACATTACAATCAGTGGTTAGACACTATGTCTGGAGAACCAGATGGAGGAGCAGACATTTGTTATCAGGCAAGTAGCTTTGGGAAAAAATTAGCGTTTCAATACATTTCATTTGCAGAGTTTAACAACAAGTTTGTTATCCTCAACTAGTGCATGGGTGAAAAAACTATCCTTAATCAGTAAAGTGAAGTATTGCTACTTTAATTTACTGCCCAAACCAGATAACTATTAGGTAAGCGTTGGGTCAGATGTGATAGAATGGTCAAAGTAATTAGAATCTAGAGCACAAGAACTCAATCGGGGCCTTGACAGTGATTCTGTGTGGCCCTGGGCACATCTACAGATAAAGAAACTGAGGTAGGAGTTAGTGGGATAGGTCCCTCACAGAACTGGAGGATGTATTGCTTAATGTTTGTAAAGTGCTTTGAATGTAAGCAACATTATGTGTTAAATAGAATACAGGGAACTCTAAAAGTAGACAAGTTGATTATTTTAAGAGAAGCTCAAAGACCAAATGTCAAATTTATGGAGTTCTTCCCCTTTCATATGCTACTTCACATCACAATACACTAACAATTTTCTAACTTGAGAAATATAGGCAATTTCCATTATCCTAGTATCATTGTTTCTACTAGAATGGCTTGACTGAATCAGTGTTTTTATGAACCTGTAAAACAGTCACTGGTTGGCGAGTCTCAGTATAAACAATTCAGGCCGGAGCAGGCCTGATTTTTGCATATAAAGTCTCAGTGCCCTCTTAACCCTGGGACAGCTAGGTTTCCTCTTTTAAGAAGGGAAACATGGTAGTAAATAGAGAATCATCATAACTCCTTCAAGGCAGAATGAGAAGCAAGTGCTGCTTTGTATGAAATGTGGGCCTCCTGAAGTTTTTAAATCTAGAAAGTCCAAGCTAATAGACCTTTAATGGAAGAGTGCTAACTTTAGTAAAGGAGTTTTAACTCAATGGCAAAAATCCATAAGAAGGCAGAGTTATGAAGTATTTTTCCTGCAATGCTGAAGCTCCATTTAGAACTCTAGAACATTAGTGGCTATTAGTAGCTGAGCCTGTTAAGTAGATGTTTGAGGATAATAGATTCAGGAAGCCTGCTTCTGAGGCAATAGCTCTACCCAGTTTCAAGCACATGGCAGGCAGAAATTAAAGACAAATAGCTTATATAGTCAGGAGGATCACTATAAAAGCTGAGAAGCTTTACTCGTGGCATGACAAAGTCAATTCATAGTATTCAGGCTTCGGTGCAATTTAGACTTGAAGCCACCATGAAGTCTCCCAAAGAGGTCAAAATTTTATGATAGGGAGCCAATGTCCAGAGCTACAGGTTAACAGTGACAAAGGAACTGCTTATAGGAAGAATACAGAGCACTGACAAAACCCACAACACAGAGGACCCTCACAAAAAGTCTGTATTAAGAATAATTCCAGAAGGGTACTGTGTATACATGAAATGTCTCCCATGTAAATGAGATTTTAAAGTGGCGGCTTCCTCTACCCGCCCAATGTCTTTGGTAACAAGTTCCCCTTTCCCAGGGGATCAACTAGCAACTTCCATTTGAAAGGAGAGAAGAGTGGAGAGGGGGGAGAGGATGAAGGATTTTCATTAAAACTCTGCTGTTATTTTTCCACTTCTTCCAGAAAATATCAGCCCTCATAAACCTCCTGGAATAAGTTTTAGGTTTACTGTCCTGTTTTTGCTGATAAATTCACTGTTCCCATGTAACTGATCAAACAGTACTAAGATAGCTGGAATTAATTTTAGAAATTCCAGGTTCTAAATAAAGAGATCTGAATCTCTAAGCTGGAGTTTATTTTCTTCAAGTTTATGCACTGGACAGTGATTTCTTTGTTCTACTAGGCTCTGGACAATTATTTTTCAGAGCTACATTTTTCAGTGAGGCAGAAAGGGGCAGGAATCAAGCTAGGTTGCCAAACCCATGAAAATAATTCAAATTGCTGGAATATGTAGCTCCATAAAATTCCTCTTTAGACAATAGTGTGGTCCTCTATTATTTTTGTCTTAGTTTGGTTAGGGTGCTGGACTGGGACACGGGAGACTCTGGTTCAATGCCCAGTTCTACCACAGACTTCATGCAGGAAGCAAGTTGCTCTGGCTCTGTAAAAAAGGCATAATAGCACTTCCCTACTTCACCGTGGAATTGTGAGGATAAATCCATTAAATATTGTGAAGTGCTCACTATACTATGGTAATAAAAGGCGTATAAGTACTTAAGATAGATCACCCACTAACAGCAGTTGGTCAGCAAGTCAGCACTAAGCCCAGTTTCTGGGCATGGCCCAGTCTGCTTTATCCCGATGGCTTATAACTTTTGTACATGTCCTCTTGGCTCCAGATTTCCTCCTCCAACGCAAGGCTCACAATTGCCATGGAGCAAAGGTTTGTCCCATAAAGTAACAGTTGCAAGTTCGGGTGCAGCTTTCAGCCCCACTGCTCAATTCTTTTTGTTTGATGTCTTTAGTAGGTCTTATCTGTGTCCTTATACCTTCTGGAAACATCTGGAATTGCTACACGTCTGACATCACCAGAATAGCTTGCTTATTTATCTGGGTAGCTGTACTGATTTTGAGGGGAACTTTGAATACACCCCTAGTGTGCTTCATTTTCTTAGCACTTTTTTTCCTGCCAAAAACTTAGTAAAGTCCACCACCAGCAAGAGTTGTAAGGGAGTTTCTTTTTAATCATAGTAAAGTCTTATGGTATGGTTGCCCTAACTGGTTTGTCCACAATTATGTCAGTAGAAGCCAGTGGGGTACTATTCCTTTGCCTACTGATGAGCAGTTTTTGTTACTCTGAGCTGTGTCAACCATCCCCTGTTGCATTTCCTGGGATCAGGCTCAGAGCTTGAATGATCAACTCAGCTAAGAATGTGACACAGATGAGCAAGACAAAAATGTTTTAAGTGAATTAATGTAAAGCAGGTCATTGACTATGGCATTGCAATGCAATAAATAGGTTTTTTGCACCACTATTTTAGAGAGGATCTAAAAGTAATGAGGGGGAAGAGTAGCTCAGTGGTTTGAGCATTGGCCTGCTAAACCCAGGGTTGTGAGTTCAATCCTTGAGGGGGCCACTTAGGGAATCTGGGGCAAAATCAGTACTTGGTCCTGCTAGTGAAGACAGGGGGCTGGACTCGATGACCTTTCAAGGTCCCTTCCAGTTCTAGGAGATAGGATATCTCCATTAATTTATTTTTAAATTTTATTTAATTTAATAATATGGTAGAACAAGACACTTCACATGCTTACTGATACATCAGTTGATTGTATTCTGTGAACAGTTAACATCAGATTTTTACACACACATCAGTGTTTGGGTTTTTAAACTTTCACTTAGTTCTCTTTCATAGCTAGGTAACAAGCGGAATGTGGTCTTCCAGCAGAGTGATACTAATTCATAGGGAAAGCAGAATGAGCTGTCAACCAGATCTTTTAGATTCCATAAAATAAAAGGAATTTTGTCGTACCCTTTATGCTAGTTTGTGGTATCTAGCTAAACATAACTGAGTTAGCATTTCTGATCTGTAAAGGATATGAAGGATCTATTCTGTGATGGATCCATCCATAATTCTGTGAATTATATCAAAATCTAAGACAGCGTCCTAAATTCTAGACAATTCCTATCTAAAGTCAGCACTAAGCAACTTTATCAATCTGTACACAAGGATTCATATTCGATTTTATTCCCTCTCAAACTGCACTTTAAAAAATTCCCCTTACAAGAGAACTATAAAAGCAAGCCATGTCCGTGTGTACTTCAGGTGGTTCTCACTTTAATCTTAAAAACCTTAGAATTAGTATGAACTATTCCAAACACAAATCACACCAAAAAAGAGTTAATACAGAAGAATCCTCTAATCAGGCAATAATGGTGTTCTGGATAAGTTTACCCTTTTTTCTTGTCTCACCTCAAACACTGTCAAACTGTACATCATTACGTAGTCGTTTCTTGTGCTTGACAGGAAATAGAGGCAGAATCTCCAGGCGCCTATCTGCTGGGCAAAGTTATTCAGAAGCTCCTCTGGGAAAATCAAGTATCAACAAAACACGTGCATTAATATTCATAAGCTGTCTTCAGACCCAAGACAATATTTGTTTCCATAGTACCATAGATCTGAATGTAACTTCAGATATTTTTCAAATCTTATTTATCAACTATCAGTTTAATAATGCTCAGACAACCTGAGCTACTTCAAAAGCAGCTACAAAACCTACCTATAACCTTCAATGCAACCAAAATGACTAGGTGCATAGTATCAGAATTTGTTGTGTATGATTTTAACATTCCCAAAAGCATAATGTAACGACAGATTTGGGTTAGATTAGCTTGATACTAATGGAACCTTTAGATCCACAGCGCACATCTCTGCCACCTAAGATAATAGACACGGATAGCAGTAGGATGAGGTAGCAGCAGTAGGTTATCATACTCTAAGTGGACCAGCCACTAGAGCGAGATTATCTACTTTGCCATGGGTCTTTACAGAGAATTCCTTTGCTGTCAGCAACACTTGGATTCAGGAATCTTGGTTTCAGTTGCAGGTTCTGTAGAAGAATGTGCTCTGGGGGGCACATATTTTTCTACCTGTGTTCTCCAACCTGTTCCTTTCCATTACTTCTGGCTTCTTGTCCAAGTCCTCCTGCCCCCAGCACCACTACCACCAACTCCTTTGTTCCAGTCTCCTTTCCTTGCCCAGCCAGTTCCAGTATATTCCCAAGCCCTCTTCCCAGTCTTTCCTCCACCTCAGACTCCTTGTCTCTTGTGCCCTCTGCATTGTAGTCAGACAGCTTTCTCCTTTGCTATGCTGCCTGGGAGTCAGGAGAAGGGGCAGAGAGGGGTAGAGGAGCACTGAGACCACAGGAGAGTGTTTCCCTGCTCTCAACTCCAGTGCCCAGTGCTATCGCAGCTCACAGCACCCAGGAGCAGCAATTGCAGGAAAAGTCCTCCTCAGCCTCAGGGTTGAACAATCAATGCAGAAGGAATCTTCTGAATTTAGCAGCCAAGCTAAAATCTCTATTGAACTTCCATAAAACACATGCCCAAGACAATGTATTTTCCCTGTTTTCAGATATTGAACTGTTTTTTGCTCAAATTTTCAAAAAAGAAAATCTGAGGCAGACACCTAGCTTGCAAAATTTCAACCCGAATAGCTAAAGTTTGGCAAAGTTCTGAGCAACTGAAAACTGCACCTTATAATGGGAAGTGTCAGGCAACCTTAACGATAGCCAGTGCTACCAGCTGTGCCTCTAACAAATAAGAAAAACAAATGGCAAAAGTTGGGATATTGGTCCACTGCGAAACAGACTGGGTAGAATTTAAGGATTTGTCTACAGGAGCAGTTTGCGGCAAGCTGGGGTGTGAATTTATCTTGCACTAGCCAGCCACAGACTGACTGTCCATGTGGACACTGCTGGCAAGTATTAACAGTTTAATGAGTTTTCACCTAATCCCATTTCAAAGACTAGATGAGTTTGTTAATGCATGACAGTAGGGCCTACACGGACAGTCATTCTGTGGCAGGCTAGCACGGGATAGAGTCACAGGCGAGCTTGCTACAAAACTAAAATGTCCACGTAGACATGTATTTCCCTAATACTGACATTCTGCAGTAAAGATCTACACATACCTCTTATGTGGAGCATTATAATCCCCCGTCTTTTACAAATTTCTCTCAAATGCTCAGAGAGATTCTGTTTCTAGGATGACCACATCCAATTACTCTTTTTGTAAAAGTTTGGCCTTGGGGAAAAGCTGCATGGGTTTGTGTTCTACAAGTTGATCAAACCCAAAAGTATGCCAACAGTCTTCTTTCCTCCAGTGACTGTGTGTATAGGGGAAGAAAAAGAGTCAATATCACCCTTTTTAGCCAGACGATGGAATTTCAGGTGAAGACAGCGTGCATACATGCTGAGAATATATTTTCAAGTATAGTGAACCTGGAGGGAATACTGGCTACATTACTGAAGTCTCAGAGGTTATAAATCCATAGCCTGTCCTTGTAGAAAGGAACCAGAAGACTGTGTAATCCCCTCATTTTTTACTGTATTGCAGGCCTGATTCATCCATCCTGCTGCTGGTTGCATATTATGCAAGTTATTTCTATTGGTCTTCATAAGCATGGATCTGCTCAGATCCACCAGTATGGAACACAAATATATTTCCACCTGCCATTTTGCACTACTAAGGACCTACCCCAAATGAGTCAGTGTGGGTAATGTAGGAGAGCAGATCCAAAAGAGAAGGCATACATCTTCCTCATTCCCCTCATAGTACAGAAAAAGCTTCACGCATTTGCCCCATCACTTGTCACACAGCAGTCTCCTTAACAGGCTCTTCATGGAGCACAGCAGTTTGTAGGCAGAGAAGTAGGTACCCACCCTCACAACTAGCCAAGTTTCCATCAGCCTGGGAAACAAGTTCCTTTCTCACCATTTCCATCTTCAACAGACAACCGAACTATGGAGTTTTCTGCTGCTGCTGCTTGGAGATCATATATCTAACCCAAAAAATGTTGTTAAGGGAAGTAAAAGGGATTGTCTGAACTTACCTATCTCACGTTTCCGTTCATTGGTTGTACAATTGTGGAAAAACTCTGTCATTAGACTCTCCAAAGCGCGCAGGGAGGCCTCTTCTGATGCCTGACAATGACATTTAAAGGAAAAGTAGGTCAGAAAGTGCCTCTGGTTTACATTCAATTGTAAGTAAAGTTTATTTCCTTATAAGACAAAGTGCTAAGGGGTCCATATAATGCATGCTGGATGAACAGGCTCATCAACCAAACAAAAGAGCAGCATGTTACAGGGTGAAATTTAATATGAAGTTCACAAACTGTAGAAAGAAGTCAACAGCTACTAACAGAATATGACCAGGATGAGTAAAAAGCCTCAGAAGTTATTTTAAAATCTCATTTGTTCAGTCAAGCTTGTTAATGAGAGCAACGCTTTATAAAGCAAGTTCCCCTCCCTTCTAATTACAGACACTTGTTCTCATTACAAATGTTAGTTCATCCATTGGAATAATTCTTACATGAACACCAGCTTCAGATTAACGGACCTCAGAAATTCAGAGGCATCAAGGCATAGCAAACTGAACAAAAGACTAGATGTTAAAAGTCCTGAACTCTATTCCCATCCCTGGCTCAACGGGTGGCCATGGTCAGTTTGCCACCTCTTTGCTTCAGCTGTAAAAAAAAAAAGGGGGGGGGTGCCCCACCAACGTACTCCACTTGGCGCAGGGAAAAAATGTAAAGGATTAATGTTCGTACAGAGCTTTGATGACTGAGTGCTATACAAATGCTTAATTTGATTCAGGGAGGATGAGTTGCCTAATCTCTTTTCCTTTTTTGCCAGCTGCAGCTTGGTTTTTAGGAGACCTCAAAGATACTGGCTCAATATGGAGCAGTTACAAGGTAGCTACAGCTTTATTTCTCCCGAGGGCCACCTGTAATAAATGGGACTAAATCATTTGTTCCACAGTGTCTGGAGATGGAATGATTATGTTGAGCCAGAGTTAGGACGATTCTTGACCCAATCAGTATGGAGGCATGTGCTTGACCTTCTCATCTAACTCTTATAATGGATATCCCTTGTCAGTTTTATCACTAATGGTTTTGTTATGGAAGAGACACACCATTTGTCATTTCTCCAATATTTTCAGCTAACGCATTGTTCTTTCACTAATAAGAGCACAGACTTAAGCCCAGGCCTTCCTTGGGACTATACAAAGGGTAGTGGCGCAGGCAGGCATCTACTGTTCAGTCCTATGTGAGGCACAAAAAAAATTACATATAAACCAAGACTTTGCCTACACTGCCAATTGAACGACAAAACTTTCGTCATTCACAGGTACTTAAAAAAGCCCCACCCCCCCAGGCAAAAGTTTTGCCACAGCAAGTGGCAGTGTAAATAGCTCGTTGTGGGCGGCAGCAGCGCTCTCCTGTCAACAACATGAACCCCAGTCATAGGTGGTGGAAGTATTTTGTCGGCAAAAGTGCAGACCATCAGCGTTTACATTGCCTGACTTTTAGCGACACGGCTCTGTTGCTAAAAGCTGTGTAGTGTAGACAAAGCCTTAGGCAGACTAGCACTGTGACAGGTAGTCTTCTGGGAGAAGATCAGTCTACACCACCTACAGAAGCAGTATGAATTTCTCTACTGCTAAAGCCCAATTCAACATGCTCCACACAAGGCATCCAGTTTTATTAGCGTTCCACTGCAGAACCAAGTTGGAGAGGATTCTTCTAAGCTTCCCCATCCCTATATTAAGTTGGATTTAGATTTACACACACTATGAGAACCAATAATTTAATAAGAGATTAAGAAAAATACAGCTGTTCTCCTAGCAACTGATAATAGATGCTTAGTAAGACTTAGCATTCTGCTGCTAAACAGAAAATACACATTTTCCTGTTGTCCTTCCTCCATGTATCTCAAAAATCAGATGCTCCATAGAAAAAGCCACTTGTGATTGTGAAAGCCATCCTGATAGTGAAAAATGATTTAAAAACTTAAACACAATCAATCAATCAAGCTGTAGGTCACATTTCCATTTTAAGCAACTGCACAGGCCATTATTCTTTTTAAATCCATATAGATTTGCTTCTTTGCAAAAAGGTTGCATGCACAATAAACTTAATCTTCAAGTTGTTCCTTCCAACTGCTACACCACTTTTTCCATCTGTCTCCCTTACTAGATTATAGCAGCAATAATTATGCATAAAGCAGTGTGGATAAAAATCAATGATTAAAAAAATAGGTTTTTCCTCAAAAAGCATTTTATTAAAAAAATCCATCTAAAGATAGTTTTAATTAAGATACATTATAGATCAAAGATATCTCATCATGGAATAGGGATTATAAATTCTAATTCTATAGTATGAGACAATATTCATGAAATGTTTAAGAAAAGTTTTGTCAGTGAGTTCTAATAGTTCATGGATTAGAGTTCCAACAGTTCATGGATTAGGGTCCCAATCTTATGGGGTTCTAGGAGCTTCAGTATATAGATTATTTAGGATAATCTTTCTATCTACTAGGGCTACCATATGTCCGGATTTCCCCAGACATGTCCAGCTTTTCGGTCTATAAATAGCCGTCCGGGGGGGATTTTTAAAAATCTAAAAATGTCCGGGATTTCCCCCCAGTCGGCTATTTATAGATAGAAAAGCAGTGGCCAAGCGCCGCTGGGCACCCAAAGCCCCTTCCCGGCTCCCCCCATCCCCTGCAGCCTTACCATGCTGTCCGGCCCGCAGCTGTCTTCCCCCTCCTCCCCTCTCCTGAACGCTCCGCCCCCTGCTCCTCCCCCTCCCCTGCTTCCCAC